CATCATTTGGGGCACCTACATGGGATTCCTGCTCGTGTTTTTTGGTGCATTCTTTGCTGTGTGGTGCTACAGGTAATCCGTTTTGTTTTTCCTCCAGGACAAGAAGAGCAAAATTACCCAAGTGGCACTTCTAGCTTTCGCTCGGTAGACTTTGGCTCATTAGAATAGGAAACAAATATCTGCATGAATACTATTCCATGGGTTGCTTATGCCCTGCAACTAGTCAATAATCAAAAGCCTATTTAGCCGTTGAAACATTTGAAGTCAGTTTCATTGATTTATTCAAAATGGCATGTGATTTAAAGCAGCCATTCTTTAACAGAAAGTCTCATGAGCCAAGTCTGATTCAAATCCTTTCAGATGCAATACTGTAGTCCTTTTAGACATCTGCGTCTTGACTTAGGACAGCACATTTTTTTAACACTTTTTATTTTGAAATAATTTTAGGCTCACCAAAAGGGTACAGAAATAGTAGAGTTTATTTATATCCTCTACCGGCGTCCTCTAGTGTTACAACGCACATCACCCATGGAATATAATTTAATCAAAACCATGAAAATAGCATTGGTATACTGTTGTTGGCTAAACCACAGCCTTTTTTCAAGTTTCACCAGTTTTTTCTCTGACGCCCTTTTTCTGTTTCAGGATCCCATGTCACGTTCACTTTCCGTTTTATTCATCTCCTCCAACCTGTGACAGTTTCTCATCTTTCCTTTTCTCTTACGGCCTCGACACTTTTGATGAGTGCTGGTCAGTTATTTTGTAAAATGTGCCCCAGTTTGGCTTTATCTGATGTTTTCTTGTGATTACGTTGAGGTTAGGTGTTTTTGACAACATCACAGAAGTGACGTGTCTTTCTCAATGTATCATATCAAGGGCTTATGATGTCAGTATGTCTCATCACTGGTGAGGTTAGCCTCGATCGCTTGGTTAAGAAGGTGTCTGCTGGGTGTCTCCACTACAATAATAGTGAAGTTACTATTTCTCCCTTTGGAGTTGATAAATATCTTAGAGGAGGTATGTTGAGACTATGTTAATACCTTGTTTCTCCTCAAACTGTCGCCCACTGATTTTAGCATCCATCCGTGGATCTTGTCTTCAACACTTGTTTCCTGTGGTGTTTGCCTGCTGGTGCCTTTGTATGTCCCTCGTTCCTTCTCCATTTACTAACTGGGCTTACTCTGTACAGAGTTATCCCTTCTCCTCTACTTATTTATTTATTTAGTTATGTTTACGTCACGGACTTTAAAAAAAAATTCTGTGGTCTCTGTTCAGTATCATCATGTATCTTATTGCTCAAATTTTCCCAGTTTCAACCACTGGGAGCATCTTCTGGTGGCTCCTATGCTTTTTTAAGCATGCCCCACCCCCACCCCACCCCCAATTCTCAAGCTTGTTCTTATTTTCTGGAATCACAAGATGTTCTCTTATTTTCCCTGCTCCAGCCCTAGAAGCATCCTCTTCTGCAAGGAGTCCTGGTTCCTTTCATTGGAGAATGGTGTTTAGAAACCAAGATCTAGGCACTAGATGTGCTCATTACTCCTGCAATATAGTGTTTACTGTGTTTTTAAAGAACCTAAAACTTTTAAGTGTAAATGAGGGCTACAAGGTGAAATTATCCTTAATTAATTTTTTTTTAATACCCTTATAAATTCTCCCCTGAGACTGATGAGCAGAGAGACCCAGAGCAAGAGAACTTAAGGGAAGGCAGGCACCAATTAGGGAGGAAGCAAACAGGATGAGGAGGTGAGCTTTCGATGGGAAAGCTCGTGTGGGAATGTCAGAAGAACAGCCTCACTGTGCCGAGGTCCACGAACATGACTTGCATGCTTTTATTTTCCAGAAAACGGTATTTTGTCTCCGAGTACACCCCCATTGATGGCAATATTGCTTTCTCTGTAAATGCCAGTGACAAAGGTAGGCACGTTGGTACTTAACTAAAAGGGTTGGGACCATGTTGGCATGAGAGTGTTCATTTCCTTAACAAACATTTATATGCCTGTTTCAGGAGAGGCCCTGAGCTCGTGCCGAGGACACGGCTGTGATGGAGACAGGGTCCTTGCCTTTGTGGCACTAACAACCTGGTCAGGGTGGCAGATCAGGACCATGCAGTTAATAATAGCAGTAGAATGATCCTGGCCTGGGATGAGAGCTGTGGAGGCGCCAGCGTGGTGGGCTGAGAGCCGGGGTAGCAGGAAAGGTTGGAGGGAAATGCTCTGGACAGAGTGCTGAGGGCACTTTGCTTTTCCGAGGCTTGTGTGTGAGCACCGTTCCTCTAGGGGTAGGGATAAGTGTGGGCAGGTGAGCAGGGCCGCTTCCAGAGCAGACAAGTAGCTGGTGGGGGGCGGGCAGGGGATCGTCCTGTGCACGTCCCGGTGTGTCCTGTGTGGGCGCTAGTCCTGCTATGGGCAGTGGTAGCTGATGCTCTCCCCGTTCCGACTTTCAGGAATGGCTTGGCTCTTAACCTCCACCCTCTTCCTATCCCGCCCTTCCCGGGGGGCCGTCCTGCTGTGGCTCTCT